AAGCTTTCGTTATAATTCATCAATGTCTGAGTCCATACAATTTTGAAAAGGTTAGTGATGTTGAATATGAAAAAGAAGCCTGGGAGATTCTTAAGAAATATTTTGGGAGGTGCAGAAAAGATGAAGTATGTAAGGTTAGAAACTCAGAAAAGAACGTATGAATTGCTTCAGATGGAAGATAGAGAGAGCATATCTGATTTCTTCACTAGGGTTACGAAACTAGTGAATCAAATCAAGATTTATGGAGATACGTTAACAACAAGAGAAGTTGTTTCAAATATCCTGAGATATTTGGCTCTAAATTTCGACCATATAGTGGTATCCATAGAAGAGTCGAAGAACATGTAAATTTTGTCAAAGAAAGAGCTTTAATGGACACTTGAATCTCATGAAAAAAGAATGGCTGAAAGAGATGCATGTAAGTCTAAGAGTGATGTGGCTTTGCAAACGCAGTCAATAAGAGACAAGAAAGGCAAAGGAAAGTGATTCGACAACAAAGGTGAAGGTGGCTACAACAATTCGACTAGTATAGGAAACTATCATGAAGAAAATGTGTCAAATCAAAGAAGACCATACCAAGTCAATCAAAGAGGTGGTGTTACTAATAGAGAAAGAGGTGGTGGTCGAAAGCTTGACAAGAGTCACATTTAGTGTTACAAGTGTCAGAAGTATGACCACTATTCTAGTGATTATCAAGAAAAGCGAAAGAATCGAGAAAGTGATGTAAAGTTCGTAAAGTGTGAAGAAGAAGATATGATGTTGATGGTTATAATAAGAGATGAAGAGAAATTCAAGGACCTATGGTACTTGGACTCAGGATGCTCATCACACATGTCTGGAATGAAAGATTAGTTTGTGAACATAAAGCCCTCGATGAAGAATATGGTGAAATTTGCAAATGACAATACTCTAGCAGCTGAAGGTATTGGTGATGTTCTGATTATGAGGAAAGATAGCAAGAAGTCAGTAATTTGCAATATGTTGTACATACCAGGCATGAAGAATAACTTGTTAAGTATAGGACAATTGGTCGAAAAGAATTACAAATTATTTTTCAAAGACAAGATGATGAGAGTCATCGACGCAAGTGGAAGGTAATCATGAAGGCTCCTATGTCTCAAAATAGAACCTTTTAGATCGAACTAAATATGATGGAGCACAAATTCCTAGAAACTGCAGCTAGCAGAGATGAATGTATATGGAATTATTGACTTGGCCATCTCAACTTCAGAGACATCGAAAATTTGAAGAGAAGAAATAGAAATTGACATTCCAAACGAGGTGTATAAGGAATGTGTGCAGGCGAAGCAACACAAGAACAACTTCAACAAGGATTCAGGAAGCAAGTCTAAGGAAATCCTTGAAGTAATATACTCTGATGTATGTGGACTAATCCAGATGGAGTCAAATGGAGGTCATAAGTACTTTGTCACATTCATAGATGATTTCAGTCGAAAATGGTGGACTTACCTGGTCAAGAAGAAAAGCGAAGTAATCGAGGTGTTTTCCAAGTTTAAGTCTATGGTTGAACGACAAAGTGTTCGAAAGCTTAAGATTTTAAGAATTTATGGTGGTGGAAAGACTTTGATACATTATGTGAGAAAGATGGGATTATGCATCAGGTTGTTCCACCCTACACTCCACAACAAAATAGAACTGCGGAAAGAATCAAACCATCATGAATATGGTGAGGAGTATGTTGAAAGGCAAGCATTTACCTAAAGAGTTTTGAGGTGAAGTTGTGTCGACTGCAACATACATATTGAGTAGGTGTCTAACAAAGAAGCTAGAAGGAATTACTCCATATGAATGTTGGTTTGGTGTAAAGCCTAGCTTGATTCATCTGAAGTTATTTAGATCTATTGCACATAGACATGTGTCAGGTCAGTTGAGAAGAAAACTTGATGACAAGTCAAGTTAGATGATCCTAGTAGGATATCATTCGACAGGAGGTTACAAGTTGTTCGACCCAGTGAACAAACAGATTGTGATCAGTAGGGACATGATCATAGAAGAGTTTAAACAATGGGATTGGACTGAAAATGTCAAGAAAGATTTAGTGAGAAACTTATTCAAAGAACCAAAAACTCAAGTCGAAAGAGAAGTTCGACAAGAGGAAGTTAGAGATCAACCAAGTACAAGCAGACCTCAGAGAACTAGACATAATGTCTACAAGATTACAAGATTGTGTGGTTAGATCATATGACGTGGTTGATGATGAAGGTGACCTGGTACATTGTATTTTCTATGCAGATGTCGAATCTGTCAAAGCAACTGAAGAATGAAAGATTTGATGTGGGTAAAAGCAATGAATGAGGAATTGAAGTCCATCTAAGACAACAACACTTGGTTACTTGTCAAATTTCCTCAAGGTAAGAAGGAAATTGATGTCAAGTGGGTATACAAGGTGAAGTTGAATCCCAAAGGGAAAGTAACTCGACATAAAGCAAAACTTTTGGCGAAGGTATTTCTTCAGAAAGCAGGAATCAACTTCGATGAGGTTTTTGCACCTGTTGCTAGAATCAAAACAATCATGTTAGTTGTTGGTCTAGCATAAATAAACAGTTGACACATATGTTAGATAGACTTGAAATGTGCATTCCTAAATGTACCCTTAGATGAAGAAATTTATGTTGCACAACCAACTAGATTTGTGAAGCATGGCAATGAGAGAAAGGTGTACATGTTGCATAAAACCCTGTATGGATTGAAACAAGCTCCAAGAGCTTGTAATAATAAAATTGATAGTTTTCGGAGAAGGAACTTGTGAAGTGCACAACTGAACATGGAGTATATGTAAGAAGAAGCAATACTGAATTGCTTATACTATGTTCATATGTCGATGACTTGTTAATAACAGGTAGCTGTAAGAAGCAGATCTAAGACTTCAAAGGCGATCTCAACTAGGAATTCGAAATGTCAGATTTGGGTGATATTTCATATTTCCTTGGCATCGAATTCTACAAGAGTAATGGAGGTTTGATGATGCATCAAAGAAGATATGCAGAAGAAATTCTCAGGAGATTTGAGATGGAAGAGTGTAAATCGAATTCGACACTTGCATAACCAAGACTGCAACTGTCGAAAGATGCGGATGAAGATGATGTCGACCCAACCCAATACAGAAGACTTATTGGGTCATCACGATATCTTTTTCATATGAGGCCTGACTTAGCATACAATTTAGGTATGGTAAGTAGATTCATTCAGGAGTCAAAGGTATCACACCTAGCAGCGGTGAAGAGGATACTATGGTATCTGAAAGGAATTCTCGACTACGACATTTTATTTTCTGCAACTGATAAAGGAAAAGAATACAAGTTAGTAGGGTACACTGATTCAAGTTGGTGTAGTGATGCCGAGGATCGAAAACCCACAACAGGATATGTGTTTATGCTAGGTGGTACACCAGTTGCTTGGAGTTTAAGAAAGGAACCAATAGTGACATTATCATCATGCGAAGCAAAATACGTAGTTGCTTCTCTTTGTGCATGTCAAGAAACATGGATAGTGAACTTGGTAGAAGAAATCACATGGAAAGATCATGGAGTAATTACCATAAAGATCCACAACATGTCAGCTATCAACCCGACGAAGAAACTGATAACACATGGTCGAAGAAAGCACATTAAAATGAGGTTCCACTATCTTCGAAAGCAGGTAGCAGAAGGGAAGATGAACTTGGAACACCGCAGAACTGAGAATCAGATTGCAGACATCATGACGAAGGGAGTGCAGGTTGAAGTGTTCAGAAGACTAAGAGATATGATGAATGTAGATAACTTAGACACAATGAATTAGGTGGTGTGTTGAAAGTGTAATTTCTTGTGTCGAAGCAGGATGTTGCTCGAACACAAGGTGTGTTGAACTAACTTAGTCGAAGAGAGTCGAAGTTGTAGTTGAGTTGTTAGTTGTCGAAGTGTCGAAGCAGGTTACTTCTCATAATGTTTTGATTTAGGGCTAAAATAGATATTTTGGGCTTTTGGAGTTTTGGGCTTTGGCATAGGGAACAAGCTAGCTCAATTATAAATAGAGAGAATAATCTCTATTTTTGTAATCAACGCATAACAACTTGTATTCATAAAATTTTACAGTTGCAAAGTGAATAAATTTTTTTTCATAATTTGTAGACAGATAATTACTCTGCAGAAACCCTAAATTTCTTTTCTCTTTTAATTTTATTTTATTTTTATTATCATTGTATAACAATCTTATTTATTAAAATTGATAGAAATTTATCATAGATTTTAATAGATTTCCAACATAAACTGATAATAAAAATTTTATTCTTTGTGATTAAAATCAGCATACACACATGTCTAAAAGGAGACAAAAACACTCCAAAAGTCTCTCCATAACAAAATATAAATAAATAAGAATTTTATATATACAATGTGAATATTTCATAGTCTATAAAATGAAAGATTATTTATAAATTGAATGCGGTGCAGGGATAACTCCACAAATAATTTTAGAGTGATTAATAACTTATTACTCTTTTATATGAATTGCTGCTCTGACATTCCCTTCACCTTACACTCGTTTCCTAATTTGATTCCTCTACGACTTAACAATTAAGAGATAGTATACTATAATTTTAAGTTTGAGCTTTTTTCTTCATAAGAACAAGACTCACATGCAACCAGCTAAAAATGATGCAACATAGAATGCAGCTAACAACTAATTAATACTATTAACTATTAATTAAAGAAAATTAGAACGGATAACCCATAAATAAAATACCAAAAAATCCATATTTTATAGGAGGCAAATCATTATCAAACCATCATTGAGATATATAAATTCTTTCTTCATAAGTTGGTTGTGTGTTGTACTAGAATTTTGTTAGCAATTAAAACCATACACCAAAGTAAAATTCTTTACTAAAATAAATTTTATTACATATAAGAAACTCCATACAAGACAACATAACTTGGTACAACTATTGGAGCATGTTTAATAAAATACATGTGAAAATGAGTAAGTCGTAAGGGAAACATTCATGAGGTACATCTGTAAGCTATTAAAACTGTGAGTCCTAAATTGGCAAAGAAAGCCAAATATGAAATCAAAAGTGAAGTCAAATTGGTTCTGCAGAACTTTTTCACATTGTCACAAATTGGAGTCCAACCCACATGGTCTTCTCCATACTGTCCCACAAATCCAACGGCTGTGGCTGCTGCACATCCAGCTATCAACAACACCGTCATCACCTAATATTTATCATAACAAACATGTCAAAATACAAATTAAACTTTTATTTATCCTAATTTTGTTTGATACATTCACTCTCTCATCACTATTATAAACAACAAACAAATTTTGTTTTTGTTTCATTGAATAATTAATATATCTCATATCTTAGACGGTGAAAGGGTCTAATTGTCATTGTTGCCACATATTATATTAAGGTTATGATAAGCAATGACATGTATATTTTATTAATTACCTGAGCACTAGGTTAACTGAAATTTAAAATTTCTCAGAAATAAACATGATTTTCTTAGCATATCAAGGAGTAAATTAAAACGATTAAACTTACCAAATCAAACAAAAATAGGAAGAAGTAGTAGTCTTTTAGTTGATGTGTTTGTTGCCTCCTCCTCAAAAGATTGAATAACAGTAACGACACCGACAAGAAACAGACCACACTATTTGCAGCAACAAAGAACCTAGTCACAATGAGAGAAAAAAAGTTAAAAATATATATATTTTTAATTAAGTAAATGAAAATGGAAAATGGGTTATGGTGAAAATGAGACTTACTTGAGAGATGAAGAGTAATAAAAGTGAGCTTCAAACTGAAAAGTATAGAGCGTAACGGTTTGGTTGTTGGTGACTGTAACTAGAACTGAAACTGCAGTGAGGACAATGACTAAGATTCTGAGGATGCTTTGGGCCATCATGAAAGTCGTATGATGTTTTTGTGAGGATGAGGTTGTGATTGTGGTTGTGTTGGATGAAGATGAAGATTTGGGTTCAATCTTGAAGGAGTCTTTGGAATCGGCCATAGTTTAGAAAAGAGGTTGGGAAGAAAATGATACAGAAAAAAAAAAGGTGGAAATTGAGGCAGAGAGTTAAGGATTTCACTAACTTTTATAGGAGAGAAGTAAAGTGAGAAAGACAAAAAGAAGAGAGTGTGAAATGAAATTGATAAGGGAACGTTGCTAGTAGCATTTAAGAGAAGATATTGGATCTGGATTAGAAGATTTTAGACCGGGAAAGGAACATGAATTTTGCTTAATATGGACCGTTAGATAAATCTCAGGCTCCAGATTTGGCCACGTGAAGATGAAAAAGAAAAACAGAATGATGAGATGGTGGTGACTTTCCGAACTGTGGATGTGGATGTGGAGGCTAGTTGCAAGTCACTGAAATGTATTAATAGTTATGTTTTTAAAAAATTTATGCAAATAATTAGATTTAAAAAATATTTTAAATAAATGTGTCACATGGGATAGTGTATGCATGTAAAAAATAAATATGTGTACGATTTAAAATGTGAAATCCTCCGAGCCATCTCATATAGTTTTAATGTGTATTATGTAATTTTTTAATTTTTTAATTTAATTAATAATAAACAATTTCGAATTAAAACTAGAAAAATTAAAAATTTTATTTTAATAAAATACTTATATTGTTGGAATAAAAGTTACATATAATCTAATTGTTCTGTCATCTCTTAGTTCGTCCTCTATGAAATTTTTGTTGTGGTTCGGTTGAGGGCCTTACGAGGTCAATGAGATCAGGGTCCATGAAATCAGTCAGGTCACTATATCTTGAAAATTCATCGTCAAATAGTCAATTACTTATGCTCTCAAAGTTTGATCATGTTGGTGGGGGATTGGGTTGGATGAGTGGTTGGTAGCACTGGTCATTTGAATAAGGAAAGGTAAAAAATGGAAATAAATCTTGTGGAGTTTGGTAGTCATATATGTGTTGGATTTATTGAGTGTGTTGCGTGCTACGGTGATGTGATGGTTGGATGTATGTTGGGTCGGTTGATATATTCCTCATGTTGGCCTTGGTCGGGGCTAAGGTGAGAAGTAGATGGACCCACATGAGGTTGTTGGATGTACAATATATGTTCTTCGTATTGAGTTTGAGTATGTGGCATGTGTTGGTCTTGGTACTTGTGATACGGTGGCAGAACCGTCTGTTTAATACTGATTTTGCGTTTGTGTTCGCAAATGTTGTGGTAAGCAAGAGTTGCCACTGTCTTTTCTTTTATCCAACAAAGGAAAGGGTGAAAAGAATAGAAAAAGACCTTTTCGAGAGTTTTCTGAGTAAGGGGGTAGATTATGGAAAGGAAAGGTGTTAGCATCCTTTCCATCCGTGGTTTTCCACGGGATCTTAGAGGTTTGCTCATTTTTAAAATACATTTGTGCTTTGTGTTTGAAAATATTTTGAAAATACCTTAGTACGGCAAAGTCTGTAATGTTTCTCGGCATAGTGGAGAAAGTATACAAAGTGTTTTGAAATTGTTTATGAAAAGTAGTTTTCTGTGTAAGTGCAAAATATTTGAGCAAACTTCTAACAGCTATTTACTTTGTTACTCGAAAAGGCTCGTTCTTTTCCTCTTTTCTTTTAGACAATGATATCCTACTATTAGTGAGTAGGTAGCCTTATCGTTGGATGTTGAGGGACAATCGAAGGGACATTTTACAGTCATAAAGGTAATATATGGAGACGCTTTAGCAATTTCGTTTAAGGGACGAGATCATTTACCGAAAGGCAACACCGTAGGGTCATCGAGGGACTATGGTCTTTTGATTTTTACGGGTCTTTGCTAAAGCATCCCCGTTCTCGAGGGACATGACTGTTTTGTTTTCTGAAAGGCAACCAAAGCGGGGATACCCTAGAGGTGCATATGTGCATATGTGTTGAGATTCAGTTATTTATCTTGCATTATTAAGTTTGCTATCGTTTTAATTTACAGTCTTTCCATACACACCTATTTACTAACAGTAATATAGCAACATAATAAAGCAGTAAATATGCGGAAAATAAAATGCAGAAAAAGTAAATCCTAAACTATTACACGGCTTTGGGATAGTTACATAAAAAGTGCATGAATTAAAGTGCGGAATTTTAAATCTAAAAATATTACATCCATAGACAGTTGTAATATTTATACAAAATGCGAGAATAAAAAATAACGCGCGCGAAATAAATAATACGTCTAAAAACCTAAAAAGTTCTAACTAAACAAAAAAATATTTTTTTTCTTTTTGGTTTTGTTAAGAGAATAATTAACTCTAAATTTAATTTTAATTAAGAAAATAAAAGTTGAATGAAATAAATCCTAATTCTAATATTTTTTGTATTTTTATTAAGAAAATAATTTAAATTAAAATGAACCTAAGTCTAATTGATTTTAAGTTGATAAAATAAAATTAAAATAATTAATTAATTAAAATAATTTTATAAAACCTAAATCTAATTATTACCTTTTTTTTTATTATTAAGAAAAAAAAGATTTTTTGAAAACAAATAAATAATAACTCAAAAAAAGAAAATATCAAACAAAAGAATATGGGCCTGGCTGTCAAAAGCAAATGGGGGGGGGGGGGTTGTTGTTGAAAATCCGCTAGGCCCAATCCAGAGGAAGCTCAGAAGCTATACTGGGATTCAGTAAGGAGCAGCCTTGATGGCATATGGTGCGCTTGTAAGTTGGATGCGTTGGTCCTGATCAAATGTACATATGATGGCTTAGATTGATGGTGTATGATGATCAATTGGTCATGAGGGGCACTGGATCTGCATGTAATATGTTAGAAAAATACAAAACACTAGACCTGGGACTCGAATCCAGGTCCTCTCCCCTACACACACACTTCATTGCCACCTGAGCCATCTGATCATTCATTACTTATAACAAAACAAAATTATTATATTAGAAAATCAGCGCTATTATTTGAAATTTAAAAAAAAAATGCACGTGCTGCTTTGACTGGCCAATGGAGAATTGACACACTTCGCGCCAGAGTCAACTAGTCCAGGGTGCCGGAGTCAACACTCTGGTCACCATCTCTGGCCAACTCAAAAATCCTATAATCTGCAATCAACAAAATCAAGACCTGAAATTAAGGCTACCCCCCCTAAATCGGGGTCTGCCAATCCAACCATGGCATTAGTTTTCCCAGAAATGGCCTCTATCTCTATAACCTAAACCTCTATGCTTCGAAAACCTAGCCATGGTAACTTGTGATCTAGAGCCCAAACTTCACATGTAAAACATTAGAACATCTCAAAATGATTAAATAAACAAGAATGTATGCGTTAAAACTGTTTAGAATGCATGCATTAAGAGATTCAATTTTTAAAAATTTACCAAAATGAGTAATCTGGTTTGGTACTTCTCAAGGTATCTTAGGCGTGGATATGGTCTGGATTCAACTTCTGTAAGTATTAGGATGTTGATGGAGTCCTCAGATTGGATTAAAAGAGGTTGGAAGTGTGATTTTGAATTTTGACAATTTTAGTGGAAATTTGAAATTTTCGTGTGAACTCTTGGGACCCTGTAGCCGTACCTTAAGCTTGCAAACGTGATGTATATATAGAGGAGGTGAAGGAGACAAGATAACATGGAAAGAATCTCAACCATAAAGCCATGATGAAGGTCATTATTTCATTTTTGAAAAATTACCATAATTTGAGATTTCATGCCATTTTCATATTTGGATGAACCTGGACACTTGTGCACGAAATCTTGGGCTTTAAGACAAGTCAATCTTGGGCTTCAAGACAAGTCAAAGCACCAGCCCAAATTCCTAAGCCCATTTCCAATTATTTTATACCATTTATTTTATATTTATTTGAAATAAATTAAAATAAACATGTAAAAAAATAGGTAGAAAATGCAAGGCCATTCAAAAATAAGATTAGAGGTCCTCTATAACCTTAGGAAGATATTTGAACCATAAAAGGTTAGGCCATTGACTCAAAAATTCAAATTTGCTTAAAGCACCATTCTGGAAATTTCCAAATTTTCCCAACTTGGGCAAGCCATAACTTGCTCAATTTTTATCTCATGATGATGATCTTGTACTTTTTGGAAAGCCCAAGATGTCTACTTCAATACCTATTTTTATCAATTTTTTATTTTAAGATGTTATCTTGATGTAAAAAGTCTTGGAAAAAAGTGGCTTTTGTTTACTTTTTGGAAATGACTTGTAATGTCCGAGCTCATATCTTTCAAATGGTGAATTTCTTGATCTTGAGGGTTCAATAGAAGTTGTAAGGAATTGGATTCTATTAAAAATAAGCTTTGGTAGGAAAATTTCTGATAAAGTATGAGAAAGTTATGCTTAGTCAAAGTTTGGTTGACTTTTTCCATAGAAACCCTAATTTAGAAATTCTTGACTTTTGATGAATTAGGAGCATTTCTTAAGGAATCATGATCAACCCTTGATAAAATGACGGATATCACTTCAAAATTTTGATGTTGACCAAAAATCTTGAAGTTTGACTGTACATGGGCCACAATTGCACGGTTGATTTTCCAATACTTGAGCAATTGACTGAGCAAACTTATTGTGCAAGGCATGGAATTTGGCATGGATAATCTTGAAGGAATATTAGGACCATGGGAAGCATTTGAGACCATTGGAGCTCAACCATCTTGATGAAAATTGAAATCCTATTTGGGAGGCCAATGCTTAAGAGGAGAATTTGTCTGATCAATTCTTGGTCAACCTTGAGCAATTGAGGACCTCTAGGAGTATGTCTTGTATGAAAATGGGAGGGAAAATTTTGGAGTACAACATCTTCCCCTATTAAATATTCTTAAACCCGAGTATTTAGATTGACTTGTCTGCCTTTTGCAATCTAAAGGTGGAAGATGATTGAACACTAGAGTGCCTAGAAATTTGCACTCGCATGAAGTGATACTATTGGTGAACAATGTCGAGAATGGGCTTACATACGCCATCTGGAAAAGATGACAGAAGACTATCGGAGATGGGCTTAAATATGCCATTCGAGGAATATGACAGAGAGTAGTCGGAGA